CTCTCTATTGTGGCCATATATATATATATATATATATATATATATATATATATATATACCCTTCCTGTCTTGAGAATCTATCATAGCCGGGTTCGATGACAATTCTTTGATTTAAAGAACCAAGCAGATGTGAGCGGTCATCTGTTCATTGACAAATCAACAGGAGAGCCATGTAACAAGATGTCTGATTATTTTTATGTTATGAATGCTTTTCCAGTCCTGCTTTTGAAGTGAAACGCGTGCTCGGAGGTCTGTTGTTTTGGTCCTGATATTCATCTTATCTCGTGTCAGAGGGAAAGGGTCTCTAACAAATCCTCAAGGAGAGCCAGCTTACGGGGTCTTTCGCCCGAGAGGGAAAGGAATTATGAATGGATAATATTTGATTTTGTTTTGGCTTCAGCTCTGAGTGGAGAAAATTTGCTGATTTTAGACTGCATCTTGCACATTTTGCATTTAACTCACCTTTTAAACTGTAGATTGAAGCAGCTAGTCATATTTAGGGGAGACCATGTTTTTACATGTAAAAACATGTAAAACTTGGTTTATTATTCAATTTGTGATCAGAAATCTGGACTATTCTGAATCAGCATGTATTTTTTAACATCTGCAAAAGCTTTGCAACTACATGTACTAATGTTGTCGGTGATGCTTGCTTAATATCAAATTGCTCAAATTTATGTGCATTTTCATTTCAAGATGCACACAAGCAAAAGTACAATGTAAACCAATGCAATAAATGTGAGAATTCATTCAAATGTGGCTATCACTTATGTACAGACTTGCCTTAAGGCAGTTGTTGAAGTGTATTGTAATAATTTGAACACTTATTCACATGTTACATGCACTTTTTATCGTCGCAAACATATCTATGCACATTATGGAAATACTCAAGAATCAGTGCTGCCCTGTGCATTCAGGTCACTTAGTAGATTATTAATACAAACACCATCTTGAGTGTGCTTGCTGGTCCATGTATTTAGTCCTTTATATATTTATTTATTTATTTCTTGCAGAAAAGCTATTTAGAGGGTTCAGGTTTTATTTCACAAACCTGTAAATGAGTGTTTCTTCAATTACAGGCACATTTGTGTCCCAAGGGTTGACTTTTATTAAAACTAACACCTTTTTTCTTCTCGTTATATGCAAGCCACATTAAAATTGTCTTAGAAACATTTCACCAGGCTTTTCCAATTTATTTTTGCTACTTTTAAAATGCTTTCCATGCATGAACCCAAACTTTCAATCTTAAAATATGAAAATCCATCAAAATGTTAATTAGTAATAAACAAACAGGGTTACACTTTATTTCGATAGTCCACTTTAGACATTCTACTAACTATAAGTAACTTTGTAACTACATGTCAACTAATTCTCATTAATTTGCAACTACATGTCTACTAACTCTCAGAGTAGACTGTTAGGGTAGATTTACGGTTAGTCGAATAAGTTGACAAAGAAAGTGTTAGAAGATATTAAGCAGACAGTCTACTAATACTCTACTAACTGCTAGTTGACATGTAGTTGCAAAGTTACTTGCTGTTAATAGAATGTCTAAAGTGCACTATCGAAATAAAGTGTTACCACAAAAAGAAATGAACAGAGAGAAATAAACCAACTGTTTTCATATCACTGTTATTTGAGTATTATTTATATACTACTATAGCTTTATTCATATTGTGAATTAGATTATATTTTTGAATTTGGAATTTTATTTTGTTTTAGCAATCTTGTCAATTATAATAGTTTTTATTAAATTTTTAAATGCCTATTTAGCTTATTTTTTTTAATTCAGTTGTAATTTATTAATTTTTGTACTTATAACTTATTTTATTTCAGTCACTTGTCAAAGCAACATTTTTATATTTCGTTTTTAAAGTTTCTGTTTTTAACAATAACAATAACAATAACTAAAGTTAAACATTAACAACACTGTCATATGTATTATGTAAAAATTAAATCAGTATTATAAATGAATTATCATTATTATACTTTTTTTTTACTTTGCATGCATATTTACCAATGGTGTGTTAAGTACTCGAAAAGAAATATGTGCAGAAAAATCCAAGTATGTGTCACTTGAACAGAGTAATTTTGTAGCACTTAATTTCCAATTAAGCTGCAAATAGTGTGAACATATTATTTAATTGTGTGTATTTAGAATACATAAAATAATACATATGAACGCTAGATACAGGATTCTGCCATTTTGTTCCAAAAATGCTTAAAATGTCATTTCCAACACAGAATATTCATCAAACAAATGTTCATAGTTGAAGGTATTCAAGCAATTGTCTCTAATATGAAACCTAAAATGAAGTGCCAAATTAAAATTTATATTTCATGATGTGTATTTCTTATGTGGGAATATAAAAGGGCAGAACCGCAAAACAGGTATAAGACAAATGCTGCAGAAATAATTGAAACTGCCACTCTTCTCACAAAATACGTCCTTGCCTTTAACATATGAAACATAGCATTTTCTCCTAGTGCATTTACTACCTTAAATGTCCCTGACATTGCAAATAATTCTCGATATGATTGCATATGTGCCTGTATGTGATACTAAAGCATCTGCAGCCTGTAGAGATGTTTTTTCAGATGGCATCCTAGTCAGTTTATATAAGGCTACAGATTACCTCTGCTGTGACTGAAAAAATGGGAAACGTGAACAGCCGCATAAGGAATAGGAAACAAAAATAGCTTTTTTTTGAGGCCGTGTGGGGATAGCTTTTGCTAAAAGCCATCAAGAGAGACCACGGCGTGTTTTATTTTCTATATATGTGTTCTCTGTACAGCTTTTTTTCCTAAAGCCCTGCAAACGGGTTTCTGCCTCCCATGAACCATATTCCAACAGCCCTAGCACGTCATTTTGACATGAGGCTGGTTTGTGAGGAAATGTAACATTTGGAGGTGACAATGAATGAGAAATAAAAACGTGTTTGATGTAAAACGTATGAATCACAGAAGGTGTTATTCATAGCCTTTCTCAAAGCTGCAATTATGATTCATATGGAGTAATTTCATTCTCTTTGGAGGTCTTCTTGAATGGCCATCATGACTAATACACATAGTACCATTTACATTGTTCAAAATGAATTGAGGTTGTGCTTCAGTGAATGGATGGTGACAACTGCGTAACAGATTACACCTGTCTTTTTATTTTGCAGTTTTCTTTAATGTTTACATGGACTGAAATTGGAAAAAAAAGGTGATCACTTATATCAAAAGCATGTTGACTATCTATCTATCATTTGTGGACACTGAAGCATACAGGTATATGCAAGCAATAGTTTTTTCACTGCTGATTGGATAAAATTTGACATTTCCATCATGCTGGCTGTGCTAATATAACATCAAACTGCACACTGTAGGTCTGTAAAAATCAATTATTCACACTTAAACTATCTGAGAGTATGAGAAGATGTATCAACATAAAGGACAGTGCTAACCTTGAACAGAAAAACTGGGCTTTCTTTAACCACTGAAAAACATAGAAAAGCTCTTAAGATGTCATTACCTACCAGAAATAATGGAGGCGAGTCGAAACTCATCAGAGAGATGCATTGGTTCATATGGGGAGGTCTCATACAGTTCTTCTCCTTCAAAATAACACAAAAAACATAGAAATTTTAGATATTAGCATTGTTTTGGTTTTACAGGAATATAATAATACCCTTATGACAGGGCATATCGGTTAATTAATAAGTACTGTATTTTACGAATACTTTACGAATACATCTACATCTTGCAATGGTTATATAGATAAATACAAATTCTTAATTATTTAAAATAATACTTTCAAATGGCCAGACTCTTATAAACTCTAACATTGTTTCAAGTACACACTCTCTCAAGAATTACAGCTCAGCAGTCTTTTGTCCAGATTTGTACTGGCCAGCAATCACAAATTAGCTCCCCAGTGTTGCATCCCAATGGTTGTGTCCAGAAAGTCTGCTGTTTTCTAATCCAAGGCCTTGAGCTGGAGCCCACAAAGAAATGCAACCAATCTGCTAACTGGTCCCAGCAGAGGTGCCGCTATAACAATGAAAGCTGTGACATTAGACCTTCAACTGTGACACAAAGACTTCCAGCTGTCTGGCTCTTTAATATTTTCCTTTGAGATCCATAGAAAAAGTTTCTGTTGGGTGGTTAGCACAAATTCTCCGGACACATTAACACATGGTGCTCATTTGGGGAATACAGGATTGAATGCGCCCTGTGTCATGTACCAATCCTAGCAGTCTGCTTCTAATCTGGTGGGATTCAGACTGATTTATATTATTAAAGGGATAGTTCACCCCGAAATGAAAATTCTGCCATCAGTTACTGACCCTCATGTTGTTTCAAACATATCACATTCTTTCTGCTGTACAAACCTAAAACTAAGATATTCTGAAGAATGTTGGAAACCAAACATGGTTTTGATGGTAGCCATAGACTGACATAATATTTTTTTTCCATACTATTAAAGTCAATGGCTATCGTAACATTTTTGGTTACCAACATTATTTAAAATATCTTATTTTGTGCTCAACGGAAGAAGGAAATTCATACAGGTTTGGAACAACTTAAAGGTGAGTAAATGGTGACAGATTTTTTTCATTTTTGGGTGAACTAGTTCTCTTAAAAAATCAAATTGGTTATTTACTCAATCTCATGTCATTCCAAACCTGCATGACTTTCTTCTGTAGAGCACAAAAGTTTGTTTGTTTATTTATTGATTTAGGTATTTTTATTTTATTACATTTAATTAAATTATGGCATAATTTAAGTTGTTTTCACTGTTTTCACTGTTCCTGTTTTCACAGGAATAAAATGCCACTGATCGCACCGGCTGCTTTATGTCATGAGGTACACGGTATGTGAGGTATATGATGAATAATTAGTCGATATTCAATGTTATAATGCTATATTATTATTATTAAACTATAAAAGTCATTTGTTTCATTATTTTTTATCTTCAGTTACAAGTAAAAACATCACATTTCCACTTTATTGAGCAAATGATGTCAACCGTCTGGTGGCGATTTCGCGAACGAGTTTCACATGTGACTGTAAACCCAGTAAAAGTGGGTTTTAATTTGTATTTTTTGAAAGATAGATGAAGATGAAGGTCACATAAGTCACAGATTCACTTAGTCCAGCTGTAAATAATGACTTGTGTGCATTGGCTAGGTTTAGGTGCCATATGCCAGTCACAGTTCCACACCGTGATGCCAGGTGCTCCTGTCACCCTATGATGGTTCTCAACATCATCATCATCCCCAGCTTGTATGTCCCTATTCCCAGCCCAGTGGGCTCAGAGGGCCTTTTGGTCTCGGCAGTGTCTTTGTGTGCACCCCAAATGTACCTCTGGCTCAGAATTAATTTATGGGATCATCCTGCATCAAGAATTTATCTGCTGTGTCACTGTAGCTCTCCGCTATCCGCCTCCCAGCTCTGCTGCTGCTGTGTGGCCACCTTTATGTTCTGCTCCTCAATGAGTTTATCCTGCACACACAGCCTTAATCTCTGCCGTACCAGCCCACAGTGCCTGCACGGGGAAAACATTGAGAAGTTCCAGAGGGGGAAACGCTAGTGGCATAAAATAAGTGGGCACATAAATCTCGGGATAGAGGCATTTGTACGTCATATTTGTGGAGTGTACTAGGCATGTATTTAGCATAAATTAGGTGAGTGTAATCTTCAAAACTTGATCCTGCTGAGAGTTTTCAGCAGAGCATTACAAAGCACAGACGCTGACATGATAAATGCAAAAGAGTCCTTATCGGCCACGTGTTACTCAAGTAAGCAGATTTAACAATTCAGAGAACACAAGCGTACGCTGACATCGTCCTTGCCGCTTACTTTGTTCATTGCACTGTTAAAAAATGCTGTGACTTGAAAAGATCAACAGATGGAGAGCATTCCTAAGATACTTAAATTAGACTCGGCATTGGGATGCTGGAAAGATTTCAAATGCACGAACTGCCATATTTTAGAGTCATACAATTGACCTATCAGGATTCTTACTCTGTTTATATGGCACTAATGGGGAGTTTATAATGAATTGTGTCTAAAATGGATAAAAATAAGAGGACAAATGCCCTTCAATCATCAAAAATGAGTTTGCAGTCACAGGAAAATGACTGATTGACATGATTGGCAGAGTACTCACTATCCCAAACCCTTTGCTTGTTTCTATCCTGAAGGCAGCAGATCTAAAAATATAACTAAATTTCATATTTTGAACAACCCTCCAAAAAGAACTGAGAACATTTTATTTTTTTTTGTTAAAGACTACTTACAGATTGGATTCAGAACGATGATCAAAACATAGGTTGAGTAGATGGAGTCCCTCAAAACCCCATGATCGCACAGTCCTGTATCACTTCCTTGGTCGACATTTCATTCTGTAACATTAGGCAGCTATTTTACATATGCATCTGCTTACATATGCAATCGCTTGTTTCTGCTTCTTCTTCGATGTGTTTTGATCCAGAGATTCAGTACTCTTTTAAAAGATGTGTAATAGCACCTCCTGTCGTATACCATTGAAAATATGGAAAGCCAGAAAAATGGGGAAGCGTGGTCTCATAATTAATGTAAAATTCTGTCAATGGTGGGGAAAGAGTTAGTTACTCTTTGGGAAACCCAAAATGGTTGTTCTATGGCATCACTGTGAAAAACTCCAACTTTGGAACTTTTATTTTTAAGCGTGTATAACAATATGGTTACACTTTAGAATAGGGACCAATTCTCACTATTAACTAGTTGCTTATTAGCACGCCTATTATTAACATATTGGCTGTTTATTCGTACTTATAAAGCACATGTTCTGCATGACCATATTCTACATCCCTAATCCTACCCAATACCCAAACTTAACAACTTCCTTACTAACTATTAATAAGCAACAAACTAGGAGTTTATTGAGGCAAAAGTCGTAGTTAATGGTTTGTTAATAGCGAGAACTGGACCTTAAAATAAAGTGTGACCAACAATATAATATAATATAATATAATATAATATAATTGTCACACCCCTGGACTGTCTGTGTGTGTTTTGCTCCCCATGTGCTCCGTGACCTAGTTTTCTCCCATGTGTAATTGTGTTATCTGATCCACCTGTGTCTCGTTAATTACCTTGTTTAGTAGTGTATTTAAAGTATGGTCTGCCCATTGTTTCGGTGTCGAGTCTTAATCGTCATTCCCCGTTGCTCTGTGTATGTGTTTCGTGTTCCTGTGGATTATTAAAGACTGTGTTCCTGTGAATTCTCCTATGACTCCTCGTTCCTCACTCCTCGTTGTAGTACATCCGTGACAATAATATAATATAATGTAATATAATATAATATAATGGGCTTAACTTGGTAGCAGGAACCCTCTTTGGGCTTAATTTGGGAACAGAGTCTTTCTCCGGGCTTGACTTGGGGACTGGAGCTCTCTTTGGGCTGGACGTGGTAACTGGAGCCCTTTCTGGAGCAGACCCAGGGGCTGGAGCCGACACTGGATTGGACTCAGGGGCTGGAGCTAACAGTCTTTTTCTCATCATATTCCTCCTCTGGTTTGGGGTTAAGGAGCGGGCTGCTGTCAGCTGAGGGCTTGTGAGGGAATTGGCCGGTGGGCTTGACAATGGAACGGCCGGCGGACTTGACAATGGAACGGCCAGTAGGCTTGACAATGGAATGGCCGGTGGGCTTGACAGTGCAGCGGCCGGCAGGCTTGTGAGTGCAGCGGCCGGCGGGCTTGAGAGCACAGCAGCCGGCGGGCTTAACGATGGAACGGCCGGCTGACTTGATGGCGGGCTGGTTCTGAATCCGGGCCGGACACTCTCCAGACACCGGTGGATACCTTCCTTCCAGCTCAGTCCAGTGGTGTCTGGGAGTTTCACGGGGCGATAGTAATTGGCCCCGATCCAGAACAAAGAATTTAGCGTAGCGTCGTCCAACGCCGTCATAACGGCGAGCCTGCAGAATTCCCGGGCGAATTCTACAAAAGGAAGATCTCTGCGGGCTAGGGTGGCGAATCTTGCGGCGGTTTCCATTTCGAAACAGGGAATGGAAAACAAAACACTTTCTAAAAATGGAAACAAAAACACGGGGAGAAGGGGCGCCACTTACTGTTTCTTCGGTCCAGTGTTATGAGAGTATAGTTCCTAGCCATATCGGCCTAGAAAATCGCAACTTTTAATTTTCCATCGGTCTTAGTACACTATGTAACCACAGAAGAGTCAAGTTTTAAATAGGAAAAATATCGAAACTCTTTGGTCATTTTTGAGCGAGATGCTAACGGTCTAATCAGATTCAATGATCTATGCTAAGCTACAGCTAAAAGTGCTACCACCAGACCCAGAGATCGGCTGAATGGATTCGAAAACGGTAAAACTAAACTGTTTAACTCTACGGGAGTTGGAAAATGAGCCTATTTTCAAGAATAGTGTAGTGTTCCTTTAATAAGTGAATTGGAAATGTGGAAAAATGTTCAAAAGAATCCACAAATGTGTATTGAGCCAAACAATAGTGCTTTGAATGTGTCCAAAAGGTCACATAAATCTTGTAGTTCTCACAGCTGAAGTATATCATCAATGAGGATAAAAGTAGCTGCTGACAAAGTAGCCG